GAGAGCGACTCCGGCCAATTATACGCCCAATACGATTCAACATTACAAACAAATCGATCTAAATTCGGATTGACAACAGACAGTATTAAAATTGCCACCCAAAATGGTCGGAAGGGAAGGATCCAGCTGTGAAAGGACAGATGAAAAGAACTCTTCACCAGGTTGCTTATGATAGGGACCATAAACACATGCCACTTGAAAACAAGAGGATTCACTGGAACTAACAGAAAAATGAGCTATGACAAGATGACCAGCATCATAAATATCCGAATGGACCAACTTGACAGATGGTTTGTAAAGAATGGCCACAGCAGAACTACAATGAGATCCAGGCAATGAAACCACTGAATAATTTTGAAGATTATTACCATACTCCGTTTCCAACCGAACCCATGAATCAAATTCATCACTTGATATGGAATGAGTCTCTTGATGATAAATGATGTCTGCTTTGACACAATCGAGCCAAGAAAACAAAGTAGTAAGATTAATCTCTGAATGAAGACCTTGAACATTTAATGTTAAGATAGATAAATTAGCCATTGTTAATTGATGAATTCACAATAAGTTGAGACCAAATTATATCAATAACTGGAGACCTTATTAATCCTTTCCCGGATACTCGGAAAAAATTCTGCAATAACACGACTTTCCTCAGAGGCTTGAGAGTCCACTGGTATACAAACTGATTCACCTCCTTGAGCCTTGCCAGGGAGGTTGGGGGGAAACTGAGTTAAAGGAGTGTCCCAGTTACCATTATCCGCTACCGTTGCCAATAGTTCATGACCATCATCGGCGACAGACAAATCCAATACATTTGCATCAGGAAACAGATCACTATCAGATTCATCGCCACTGTTTTCAGATGAAGTCAAATCACCACATTATCGCTCTTTTACTATCGACGATCGAGAACGCAATCGAGAAGACCAACAATGTTTACTCCAACCTCGTTGAGACTGTGCATCAACTTCACCCTCAGAGGGATCATTAACGCCGACTGCACCATCTGCCTCAAGTTTACTAAACACAGCCTCAACACCATCATCCACATGACCAGCCGCCTGCAGACAAAGTGAACTCTTGAAAGTGCCCCCAGCAGGCACAGGTATGTCAACATCATCAGGAGCATCACCAGCTAGCTGCTTCTCAGGCTGCCAAACTGATACTCCAATATTCGAAACATCATTGACCCGGTGATGACCTAAGAGATTGTGATCAACAACAGTTTGCAGCAGTTCAGCTAGGTTCGGCACTTCAGCTGTAGATAAAACCGTGCCAGCCAAAACACCATCAGGGACCTCAGGAACCTGATCACAAGCCACTTGCTCTACCATCTCAGTAACCACCTTTCATCATGGAGCTATGGACCGTGTTCCAAGCATAGATCCTCAGAGAGAAATATGCTCGCGTCAGGTACGTTTTATGTTTAAAGCCTACGAACTCAATCGCAATGCAATGAGCACCATGTTTTAACACACAGGAGGCTGTCCACATCCTACAGGACAAAACTGCAGGCCAAACTAGGACTACCAACCTCCTGAGCGCAAAAACAACATGCATGCACACTGTGCTAAACCCCAGAGGACACAAAGTGACCAATGGTGAGAAGTTAAAACTGGCGAAGAGACCCGAATGAACTAACAAGCTAGATCGAACGAAAAACTTGAACCATGAACGTGTTGGATAAGTATGCAGTTTGTTCCACCATTCACCTTATTTACGCAATGATGATGAGAAGCGATTGTGGTAGTTCGGGGATTTCCTTTGTTTTGAACGTCATGTGCTGATCTAGAAAATAAAAAAGTATGTTGGTAAAATTATATATAGTTGATTCGGTTGATAGTTGAATGAAAACATGTCGGGTGCAAATCGACATAGGATAATAAAGTGTTACAAGTCATATGATATGTATGTTATATATGTTGCTGTCTATGCATGAGAAAGCCAATCTTGCCATTTCATGTGGTAGTGTATGTGAGGATGGTGTTATATCGGCATGTGAAAACCCCCCATGTATAAGTGTGTGTTCGGTTTAACCTAGACTTTTATTTTGATTTGTTTTTGGGAAGCGGCTGTACTCGGATGTAGTGCAATACCAAGACAACCTGTGTCCAGGGTGAAGCAAGCTTCATCCCATGGCCTAAGTCCAAAAATCAGTTTAATATATAGAGGATATTAGACGGTTGCGAAGAGATATGGATTTTATGTTCGAGTGGCAAAAACAATATCTCACAAGTAAAGCGCAGCGAACAAGTATTATTTAGCAAATATACAGATTTAGCCCAGTATTATTTAGCAAATATACAGATCTATATGAAACACATTAATTTGCTATAAAGTAACAGTTCATATTACTCTTCGGCAACATTGTTCATGTGTTTGTAGTAAATTTCTGCGAAGCCATGAATAATATCACTACACCATAACTTCCGGATCAAAGTATTTCCTTGACAGCCTCAGACTCCTTAACACCGCTTCGTTGTTGGGATGCCAAGTGCCAAGGGAACCGATCACGAAACCATACACACTGCATTTCTTCCCAAGTGACTCGAAATAGGATTTGACAGTTTGATATTTCATCACTTTCGTAAAATCAGCAGTTGCCAGGGCCAACAGGTAACATCAATTACAGTTACATTGTTACCATAAAAAATCACTATATCAGGATGACAAGCCTTGTTTAAACCAGGAATTTGTTGGTCTATTCTAACTTGACCAAAGGGTGTTGCTTACCGTAGTCTCCCAACAATCCTGTTGTGGTGTTCACGAATTAGAACCGTGTTATCCTTACAGTGGCACAGAATGTGGGGAAGGGTTTCATCGACAGATTGACACAGTCGGCACTTCGGAGAACAGTCATCACTCCACTTGCATTTGTTTTTGTTAGGGGGGCAACATTCATTCATGCTTGATGGCCAAAACGCCAGTCCTTGAACCACATATTAAGGCCAGTGAACAACCAAGATGATCCATTTGCTAAACCATCTTTCACAAAAGCACAGGCTGCTTTCCCTTGATCAGGCAGATATAATAACCTTTGAGATGCACGCTCCTGTATCAGGTGGTGAAGAAAAGAACATGCTAGCTTAACTCGGCGAGGCACACTGGCTTCAGTAGAGATAACTGGTTGATTGTTATCCGGGACAGAAAAGGTGATATTAAGGCGACAACAGGCAGATCTTGTGCAGATCGACAGGGAATGGGTGTGATATCTTATACGGTTAGGGTGTAAGAGAAATCGCAAGTAAGGGCAGGAGACCGGTTTTCACATGTTGCAAATCAAACGGCCAACCAAAGCTCCAATCTTGTGATTGCCGAAACAAACAGGTCAGAAGATTATATCATTTTGATAGCTTGAACTATTTTGATAGCTTTGGATATCTATTTTGGCCAGAGGATCTTGGCAGGCAAGGCTGCCAACTTTGCGGGAGGCAAATATTATGTGTGATGAAGCTCGAGTTGGAAGATTAGAATCAATCGGACCACTTCAATCAGCTTTTTATGGTAATTGATCAACAATGACTTAAGTGGTTCACCAGATCGCAGAGCAAATGTCAAACATGGTTGGATGAACGTTCTTATTGCATTTAACTTTTGCCATGGGGCCAAAAGCGACGATGTATAGGATGTGGAATTGTTGTTTAAGACTCTTCTCGCAACACGCTTTTTGACATACGATATAGAGCTTGGATCTTCTTAGCTTCACGGGTGTTATATCGGAGAGGAACTCTGTTGTTGTTAGCTGGGCAAGCAGAGGGGCTTAAAGGATGGCGAAGTACTGGTTCCCCCGAGGATGCAAATTCTTTCTTTGCACAAGTGTTTGGAGAAAACCACCAGATTTTTTCCCGGGTTGTCTCTTATCACTGGTCTTGATAACTTCCTCAGAGAATTTATTACATTGGTTGGAGAAATCGTCCCAAGAGATGTTAACTGGAAATGCCGATGACAAACGGTCTTGAAAGGGATGACAATCATTATTACCGGAGGAAGAAACACCAGACGGAGGGTTATGGTTATCAGTGATGTTGGAATGTGGCAGTGACTGGTTAAAATAAGTTTCAGGAAGGGAAGGAGGTTAAATTCTGGGAAGCAGATGGTGGAGAAATAGAGGGACTAATTGTAGGTGGAAGGTTAAAGGATGGAGCGACCTTGCCATTCATATCAGTACCACCACTGAATGCGACCGATGATTCAGGGGAACTATGCTGGTTATATACTTGACTGAGGAGGGGGGACTTGGCTGAGGAGGGGAGGAATTAGGGGGGGGAGGATTAGATGGATGGGGTAAAACAGATAATGGAGCATTACTATTCCCAACAGTACAATTAATTAAGAGGACCACTGGTTGAAGAGATGGTAAATGGGAAGGAACGAATGGAAGTGAGATAGCCATTAGGTCTTGGAGAAGGTGGAACATCGTCCTCAACAGGATCAAGGTCAGTAAGGACAGGTGTGGGTACTCTAACTGGGCAATTGGGAGTGGAGGTACAGGAAATGTGGGGATTGTCACTTGGAGGAGAGGGATTAATGGATTGATAGATAGATAGTTTAATTAAAAAGTTTACATTGCAGCTCATAAAAGCTGAATTGCATAATCTATTTACAAGCTATTATAACACAAATTTAAAATTACATTAAATGCTAAGTTTAGATATAAGACCGTTCAAGAAAATTGTTAACTATATAGGTCAAATTGTTTTAAGACTTGCACATCGAAGGAATAAAAGTCCACTTAAAGCGTTCAGTGCGTATCATTGGAATATTGAAGACTCGCTTCTTTCTAATGTCATAGTTTTCCTCTTGCAAAGGAGGTAGAAGATTGTGTAACTTATGAGATTCCAAACTCTTGATGGACGAGAATAACCTGTCACATAACTTCATACGTCTATCTCTTAAAGTAGTTAAATTAAACTTCTGCAGGTTATATTCATATGACTGATTCAGGGAAATGATAGCGCTCTTTTTTGAACGTTTTCCAAGTCTTCACACAAATATTTCGGGAGGGAATGGTGGAAAACCTGTGAGCAGTATTCCTACAGAGGTCTAATACATGTACAGAAAAAATTTCGGATGTCCGCAGTTGGTACTCTAGAACATCTTTGTAAAATTAGGAAGTACATACGCTTATTAGCTTTTCTAATTATTTCACCAATATGGACGTTCCACTGGAGGTAATTTGAGAGATTCAGACCTAAGATATTAACATGTTTTACAACACTTAGTGAGTTACCATTTACTGTCAAAGGTTCGAAGATGTGTTTGGAATGCTTGAAGTCGATGATGAGTTCTTTGCGTTTCTTGGCATTTAGCTGGAGTTTATTTTCAGTGGACCACTTTTCAACAGACGTAACTGCGGACGTAACTGCGGACGTAACTGCGGACGTAACTGCGTCTTGGACTTGACTATTTGTTTCAATCTGGACAACTTCTGATATGGTTGTGTCGTCAACAAATTTCCAGCTACTAACATCTTGGATCTTTAGGTCATTAATCATAAGCAGGAACAGCCACGGTCCTAATTTGGTGCCTTGCGAGACTCCTGATGGTACATCTCCCCATTCGGAAAAGCAGTCATGTGAAAGTTTGACACGTTGTGTACGGTTCGTTACGAAATCAGCTACACAGCACGCAATGCTCCAGGGAATGTTTAGGCTAAGGATCTTTTGTATCACAATTTGGTGGTCAATTAGGTCAAACGCTTTTTTGTAGTCAAATAAAACCACTCTAACTGCGGCTCTTGTACTGTCCGTCGCTTGGGCCCAATGACGGATCATAGAGATAAGGGTGTGTACTGTTGAGGACTTCGGTATGGCTCCAAACTGGCTAGGGTCGATGATCTCGAGAACAGCTGGCGCAACATACAATTTCACGGCAAACTCCTCTGCAACTTTAGAAATAGCTGGTGTCAGGGAGATGGGTCTAAGGTGGTTATTGACATCTTCAACGGGGCTTTGTTTTGGTACTGGGATAACATCAGCTAATTTCCAGGAGGAAGGAAGACCTTGATTAGCGAAGGAACAGTTTATAACGTGGCAAATGGGATCGGAAAGTATCATGGCATATTTTTTAAGAATCCAATTTGGGATGCCATCAGGTCCGGGTGCTTTGTGTGGTAAATTCCGCAATACAGACGAAACAGCCTCGACCAAGATTTGGGGCAGTTCAGAGTTTGATTCGAAAGGAGGAGGAGGGTCAATGCTTTGATAAGTTTGTATCAGTTCTAAAAAAGCCGTATTAATCATGGCGGCAATTTTGTACGGAGAAAGTGAATCAATACCTGCAATTTGCAGTTGGGAACATGGAGACTCAGAGCCACAAGGTGTTGCCATTCCAGCAATATGTTTAGCTGCCTTCCACCACTGGCTTGGTTTTGTTTGCTTAAGATGCTGGATCTTAGAAGCGAAGTACCTGCTTTGGAAGGTTTTCCTTTTTCGATTGACAAGGTTTCGGTAATGACGATAGTTTTCCATTTCCCCGTTTGAAAAGGCTTGCTGGCGAGATTTGATTAGTTCTTTAAAGTCAGAGGTAACCCATGGGGGATCATGTACATGAAGTTTTATTCGCTTTAGAGGCATGATTGTGTCAACGCCAACGGTAATTAAATCAACAAGAAGTTGTAACTTGACTTCACAGCTTTCAACATCTTCAAGAAACGGCCAATGGATGGAACTTAGGTACCTACCGAGTTCGTATTTTCTACTTGGGTGGGTGTTGCGTCTCATCAGGGTTTTCCTGCTAGAGTTGGAGTTAGGATCAGGGTGTTAGCCAGGTGGCCATCCAACCGTCCTATGGACGGCCACTTCTGAATTTGGATGGCTAAATTTTAATGGACGGCCTAAGGGAATATTTTCTTTAAATAGCAACCTACAAACTTTGTAACATTTCTTGAATACTTCGCGCCATATTTTTGTAAAACGTGCAATGTTTTTGTAACCATTTCGATGATTCTCGCATGAAGTATCAAGGTGAATAATGTGAAACTGCTGTTTTAAAAAACAGCAATCGCTTTATCGCTCAAGCGCCATGTTACAGTTACGGTAAAGTTCTTTGTATGTTTGCATGGCGATAAAACATATAATAGTTTTGTTTGTGGAAACGCCACGTAAATTATGTGGTGTTTCCACAAACAAAACTATTATAAAACTAAAAGGTTCAACGATTAAAACACCACAATTCCTCAACAACAGAAAATTGC